AAGAAGAAGAAAAAAGTTGTCAAAGTTGAAGGCGGTTTGGTGGGATCCACATAGACGAGTCCTTAAATTTTAAATTGCATATCGAGTGTCTCCTAACAAAGTTGTCCAAATATGTTGTTTTTTTTAATTACATTATTATTTGCCTCTATCCACACTCTTAACAATGTATAAAACTCTCATTGAGCCACACCTTACATACTGTAATGTTATATGGTGTAATACTTACCCTAGTTATCTTAAGAAACTTGAAAGTCTTCAACAAAAGATAAAAAGAGCCGTGTCATGGTCCGAGTATATTGCCCCCACATCCCATCTATTCCATCATTTTGGTCTTCTTCGGCTAACAGAATTAAATGTGTATCAAAATGCCTGTTTGATGTTTCAAATTGTAAATAAAACTAACAAAAGATTAACAGAGCTTGTTCCAATCAGTGGTCTACAACATACTTATGAAACCAGGAAAAAACATCTTATCTACACTAAATATAGAAGACTTAGAATAACTGGTCAAACCTTTTCTGGGAGGGGTCCACAGATTTGGAATGAGCTTGATGAGAGTTTGAAAGAGTTGACATTCATCTCCACCTTGAAAAAACAGTTAAAGACCAAATTGCTCCATTTATATACTTGATATCACTTGTACAACCTGTAACTGATTGATCAGAGGTAACATAATCTGTATTGTATGTGGAATTTTTATGAGGACTGATGTTTTATTGTGTTGTTATTTTAATATGTTATCATTTGTATGCAATATGTACCCAGGCTCTGTCTATAAGCTTTAAATAGCTTTTTGGAGACCTGATTCACGCAGTTATTTTGCAGATATGTATTATGTATTTTGTTTCTTTCGTGTGTGTGTGAATAAACTGAATAAACTGAAACTGAACTGTGGTGATAGAAACAAAGTGAGAGCAGGAGTGAGTAATGACATTTGAGAGATTTGTGATTTTTTAGATTGTTTGGATTTTATAGCGGCGGCATGGTGGCCCAGTTGGTAGAGCTGCCACCTCTCAACGAGAATGTTTCCGGATCAAATCCCGGCCAGGGAGCCATTCTGGGTGGAGTTTGCATGTTCTCTCCTTGTGTGTGTGGGCTTTCTCCAAGTACTCTGGTTTCCTCCCACAAACCAAAAACATGCATGTTAGGCTGATTGGTAACTCTAAATTGTCTCTAGGTGTGAGTGAGAGAGTGAATGATTTTTTGGTCTCGTTTGTCTCTATGTGTCCTTGTGATGGACTGAAGACCTGTCCAGGGTGTACTTCACCTCTCGCATAGCGACTGCTGCATATGGGCACCAGTGACCCCCGTGACCTGAAAAGGAAGAAGCAGGTAAAAGATAATGGATGGATGGATGGATTTTATAGTTAGGCGGTAGTGTGTTTAGTCAATTTCAGTACACATTCCTGCCTGTGAATACCCTCTCCCGCCTGTGCCCAATCCCTGACATGACGTCATTGGCCTTCAATAATCATCAACTGTGTACCGTATTTTCCGCCGTACCCCTCGCACTGCCTTATAAGTCGCATCAGTCAAAATATGTCGAAAAAAGTGGAAAAATTCATAAATATGTCGCTTTGCTGTATATGTCGCATTATGCGTCATCGCTGACGCATCGTGTTTGTTACACCGCTGCTTGTTTCTTCGAAATTTAACAAGAAAAGCACCTAAAAACAATTATTTGTTTGCTCAAAATTATAGTAAAGGTGTGTCTCAGTCTAACGTTTGCTTAATAAAAGGACTTTAACGGTCAAATCAGCTGTATTCACTGCCTTGGTGCTCTGGGAGCACACAGAAGGAGGAAAAAATGAAGGATGAACGTTGCTTGTTTCATCAAATTTTAACAAGAAAAGCACTTAAAACAATTATTTGTTTGCTCTAAATTATAACAAAGGTGTGTCTCAGTTGAACTTTTACTAATAAATGCATTTTATTGTCAAATTAGCTGCATTTTGCCACGGCGGTGCAGCTGGTTTTACTTGCTCCAAGCAGCGAGCAGAATGAAGGTGAGGGGACTATGGCAAGCCATAGTGTCATTAATAGCTGGTGAAGATTCTCAGTCATCTAGTGTATGGCAAAATCAAGAAAGTTAAAGACAACAACAAAAGAGTATAAAGTATAATAAAGTCTAGTTATTTTTGTCTTGAACTTTTTTGAATTTGTCATTACAGCCACGTTTACCTATTACATAATACAATGGCATGCCTTACTGCTACTACTACTCTGCTGCTATGTAGTGGCTGAAAATGGTACTTAAAAAAAAAAAATTCAGTCAAAATGAATGAAAACGGTCATATCTCAGCCAAAAATTTGTTTAGAAATATGGGGAAAAATTCATAAATACGTCACTTCGGCCTATAAGTCACAGAGCATGCAAATTATGCAAAAAACGCAACTTATAGACCAAAAAATACGATATTTGGAATATCCTGATGCATGCTCAATAATCCAGGTAGAAAAATCTAAAAAAGTTAAGTCTGGACCTCTGGACATTCAAAAAACAAAACAAAACAAAAAAGTAGCAATGTTTCGTCTTTCATCCGAAAGACTTCTTCAGTCTGAGGTGCTGTATTCAGCTCAGTCTTATAAATAGCACCTTCTCGTAGTGGATCAACCAGTTGGTGCTGACAACCAAAACCAGCTGCTCACATGATGAAGGAGGACCATCAGCCTAACGATGGATTGTTATTTGGAAGTTTTGTATTTGGTTTGTTTGTTTAATGTTTTTTGGCCGACTGTGAAAAACACAACCATTGTAATCCATAAAAGTGATTACCCCTTAAGAGCTCTTGGGATTGTAATGGTGGGAGTTCACATCATCTTGTGTGGCGAATTGAGGACAATGTAGTCATTCTTTTCAAACCTTAAAAATAATGTTATGAGCAATCCCACCCAATATTGCAATGCCTCATGATCTTACATGATCCATTAGTGTTTAGAATATGTGCCATGTCTGGTTCAGCTACACCAAACTTTGGCAAGTTATATGTAAAGTGATCTTAATCATTGTCACTTTTTCTATTTTCTAAGGTCAATTGACTCTGGTGGCCTTGTTGAAAGGGTCTGACTTAAGAAAATTGATCAGTTGTAAATGTACATGTGAATTAATCTATAAGTTTTAATTTAATCCATCCAGTGGTTCATTTAGCCAAGAAATAGTTTAAACGCCATATAGTGAATGGCAACATTTTAAACAAATATCCTGCACAATCTGTTCATACCACAGGGCCTGTAAAATGTATTCACCCCCTTGTACGTATTATATATTTGAGGAGGAGTTCTGTAACTCAGTTTTTGAGGCTGTCCTCACAAACTGAGTTACACTGCAAAAAGGAGAATAGTGTGGAAGACCACCACCTGAACCCACTCTGAAGGAGTTACAAGCTTCAACGGGTGAAATGGAGAGACAGAGCATACAACAACTGTTGCCTTAGCTCTTCACTAATTTAAACTTTATGGGAAAATGGCAAAGAGAAATATACTTTTGAAGAAAACATTGAACTTTAACTCCCAGAGATGTTTAGGACCTTGGAAATCCCTTTTTTACCCATCCCGACTTGTAAAAGGGCTGTCTTTCATTCCATCCAGGATACTTACACAATCTGTACCCAATCTTTACCCACATCCACATTCATACAGTGCTCCACTACATCTCTACAACATCAACCTGAGTACAGTAAATCATTCTATAAAGATGTCAGTGATTCACATAATGTTTATACACCAGTAGGACACACATCAAGAGCAATGAGGGGTTCAGTATCTTGTTAAGGGACACTTCCACATGTGACTCCATTGTGGTGGAATTAAAATCCAAACTCTCCCATTGTAGGATGAACGCTCTAAACACTCGTCCACAGCCGCCCCAATAAATACTTTTCAGTGATCTTTTCTCTGAACAGAATTAGGACGATCACTTTAAAATGCCTGCAACATTTTTTTGTGATAATAATGAATGCCTTTTTTTAAATAAATAAATAAAAAATTCATGCCTCTGAGATGAACAGTTGTTGAGATATTCTCATGCACAGTAAGAGAAGTGATGTCAAAAGGGAACGCCTGCATGTAAACAGAGTGTTGCCACAATGGCAGAGAGCAGAGAACAATCTGATGTTTCTTCTACAAAAATAAGAGTCAAGAGTTCAAATAACATTGTTTCAATAAATAAAGATCAGGAAGTTCTCCTTTTTAGAGTTCCTCTTTGATGTCACTTCCTGTTTCACTTTGGCTGCACCAAGTTCAAAAGAAAATCCTAATAATTTTTTTCCCACTCTGCGTATTTGTAGGACATACATGTCACAGACAATTTGAAGAAGGTGAATACTTATACAGTCACTTATTTTACATTACAGATTTTTATTTAATTTATTACTCTGTGGGAAATTTGATTTCATTTTGACATTGAAGATATTTATTTCTTGGAATATTTTGTTGTACAAAATGTTCATATTATGTTGATCATGACTGATTTATGGCAGCAATAAAAGCAGAAAACATTGAAAGGGGTGAATACTTTCTTTAAGCACTGAGCAAGTTGGGGATCAGGCTCAGCTACTACCACACCCAAAATTTAGTTTGATGACTGTAAATTGACTGATATACATTTTGTATATTTGTGTTTTTGAGGTCAGTTGGCTGTGGTGCTGGCCATTTAGTTATTATTATTTAATTGTTTATTAAAATTAATTGTAACTAGGTAGAGCTTTTCATTATTTCTTGAAGGATATTAAGAACAAGTTTGTTCTTTAAATTAAAAAGTTATTAAAAATATAAACTTTAAAGGACTCAGTGTTGTAGTTGGATGATTAGGTAAAAACTATAGAACAGTGAAATCCATCAGGAAGCACCTTAACATGTTTCCCTAATTAAAGAAACATTTTAAGCGATTCAGTTAAGATTTAAATTAAGTTTTAAATCTTTAAAGTGAAGTCAAAGTATAATGATGCATATTTCTTCTCTCTGTCCCTGGTTTATTAATATTGTTTATTTATGTCCTGTAGGATGGTGTGGTGCTGGTCCACTGTAATGCTGGTGTGTCACGCTCCTCCTCGGTTGTGATTGGCTACCTGATGTTGAGGGAGGGGCTTACATTTGATGATGCGTACAGTCAGGTGAAGCTGGCAAGACCATCGATTCGCCCGAACCCCGGCTTCTATGAGCAGTTACAGCACTACAAACCTTAAAGAGACTGAAGTTTAAAACAACACCAAAGGAAACCCAAACTTTGGTAAGAGTCTAGTTTGTTTTGTGATAAATTAAAGTAATAAAATTAAATAAAAATAATTGTCCCTGTAGGTGAAGCTAAGCTTGTTAGGATCTGTGAGTTTTAATTATTATTTGTGTTTTAGATCAGGCTTATTTTTCCTTTTGGTCATTATGTTTTTTTGGACGTTGCTTGTTGTATCTTGGGATTCTTGTGTTTGTACCTGATCAGTGTTTGTGTTTACTTACTGGACTTCAGTTTCGTTCCTTCGGTTTAGATCTCGACCAGTCTGTGTGTTTTCTGATCTTGGGTCCTGCTACACCCACCTCCACCTGCACCTTGTTGAGTTTAGGGCAGCTGGTCATAGTTTCCTCAAGTGTCTCCACCCAAAGAAGCCTCAGCATCTGGTCACCTGTCAGAGGAGCATTAAGCTCCATACCTGTCTGCTTCTCCTCATTCTCTGTGATTGTCTCTGGGTCTACATGAGTTTTAAGATTTTTGGTTTTATTATTTAATAAAAACTGTTTCTTTTTTAGATTTATTGTGTCCAGTGTGTATTATGGGTTCAAACCACCACACCCACCATAAAGTTCCTCTCTCCTTGTGACTCATCACTTCTTCTTTCTGTAAATTCTCTCTTCAAGAATTTTCATTTTGCTCTGGACATTAACTTTGGTTTGGCCCAGAGGATTCTCTAGCATCCACCTAAGACATAACACACACACACACACACACACACACACACACACACACACACACACA